CGCCGGGCTCGTGTGCGTGCGTGCCCAAGATCCCGAGAGGAGAATGGAGGAGAAGGGATTGCGGTGTGACCATCCCCCTGGGGGGTGATTTCTCGCTTTCTGTCTCTATGTCTCTCTATGTCTGTCTGGCAAGCGCACGCGCCCTATAGCGTAAAAAAAACCTCTCAAAAAAAAATCTTAGTCATTCTGTCTGTGGTTAGGTGGTATCTCGTTGTTGTTTTGATCTGCATTTTCCTTACAATAAGGGACACTGAGCATTTTTTCATATGCCTTTTGGCTATTCATATGTCATCTTTAGAGAGTGTTTTTTTCAACTCATTCTCCCATCCCTTAATAGGGTTGATCTGCTTTTTTCCAAATAGCTGCTTGAGTTCCTTGTATATTCTGGTTATCAGTCCCTTATCTGACTCATAGTTTACAAAAATATTTTCCCATTCCAAGGACTGCCCATTTTCAATAATTACTGTGTCTTTTCCATGAAGAAACTTCTTAGTCTGATGTAATCTCACTTGTCTATTTTGGGGATTATTGACTATACTTTGGGGTTCTTATTTAAGAAGTGCATACCCCAATGTTTTCCAGAGTTTCCCCAATGTTTTACAGGAGCAATTTTACAGTTTGAAGTCTTAGATTTAGATCTTTGATCCACCTTGACTTGATTTTTTTCAAAGGTGAGAGGTAGGGTTCAGATTCATCTTTCCACAGGTGGAAATCCAGTTTTTCCAGCACCATTTGCCAAAGAAGTTTTCCTTTTCCCACTGTATTGACTGGTATCCCTTGTGAAAAATCAGTTGACTGTATGTTTGGAAATTTATTTTGGGGGACTCTATTCTTTTCCATTGGTCCACATGTCTGTTTCTGTGCCAGTACCATGCTGTTTTGATTACCACAGCTTTGTAGTATACTTCTGGGTCATGGAGTGAGATGCTGCCCACTCCACTCTTCTTGTGCAGAATTATTTTGGCAATACGGGGTCTTTTATGATTCCAGACAAATTTTATGATTGTCTTTTCTAGATCTGTGAAGAATATGTCTGGTCTGAATTTTGAATTCCTTATGGTTTGTAATGTTTGCAGCGTTCCCCCCTCCACCATCCATCACTTATGCCTATGTGCTTATCATGCTGACCTTCCCTGTTAGAAACCAATATAACCTCTTATCCCACCCCAAATCAGGGCCTTGAGTTTTGAGTCTGAACTCTGGGTTTTCTGGTATAATAAACCTGAGTTCTCCTACTCTTCAAGTGGCATTTGGTATATTGGAAGTCTGTTTCTGCAACAAATATACTTTGGGGAAATGGAGAAACTGCAGGGGAGGCTGACCAAAGACAATGTGGCATTCCCTTGTAATGAAACATCTTAATTACAGAGCCTGTCAGTATCTGATAAAAGCAAATGTGTTGTAAATCTAACATTCCTATAGTGCTTACAAACAAAACCCTTAAGGTAGAGACATAATTAACATCATCAAAGCGGAAAATGACAAGGTCAATGGAGGATGAGTCCTTGGCTTGTGAGAGCTGAGATTGAAACCAGAAATTTTATGGGCCTTAATCTATTAATAAAGATAAACAGAAATCATTAGGACCCATATGCATTAGGGTTATTTTCCATACACCAAAAGAGAAGCACAAATCACCTAAGTATCTTTGAAAAAAGAAAAGAAGAAAAAAGTCTTATTTCTCCTTCTAACTAAAAGTTCTTATTTCTCCTTCTAAAGTCCCAAAACTTAGTCCCTCAGTGGCAATTCAGTTTTTGAGATCCTTCCCTGCTTGATGAGAGCTTGCTTTTCTTCCTCCTAATAAACCCCAGCTTTATTATTCCTCCCAGTGTTTATATCTCTAATTCTTTGTGTGAGACAAGAAGTTAAACTAACCTAAAGTAGTTTAGTTGGTTGCCAGGTACCATGGCAACCAGGCAACCTTTTGCATGAGCCTGGAGGCATCTCACTCCCTTACTCCTGAAATATAATACAAAGCTGTGATAATCAAAACAGGGTATTCCTCCCCCTCCCCCCCTAGAAAAAGTCTTACAGGCCAGTAGAGAACCCAGAAGGACCGTGTGTCTCAAATTTCAGTACCGGTGAGATGGGAGTGCTGGGTGATCAGACCCAACACCCAAGTCAATTCTTGTCCTACGCTCAGGAAGAATAAGAGACACAGACATAGAGAGGAAAGGAAAATGGAATTTATTAGGAAAGAAGAAAAAGCTTCCAATGCAATGGAAGGGAGTCTGAATGTGTTGCCAAAGAGGTTGCTAGAGACGAGGGGTTTATATCTATCTAGCCATCCAAGCATTGGACTGGCTTTCTGATAAGGAAGCAGGCTGTAGAAAATGGTTACATGGTAGTCTGAGTGATTTATTACCCTATTCTTTGTGGGGTCAGCAGACGGTAGTGTCCTGTACTTCTGGTTGCCCTTAGTTGCCGTTGCTTTGTCTCAATACAGCCAGGTTTTGGCTTTGAAAACTTAGCCACTGTAACTCCATCTTGGCCTTAATCTGTCTGTGTGC